AAGGAAAAAAAAAAAAAAAAAAAAGGAAAACCCACCACGGAATAGCTAAAGCGGGTGAACCTCTTAATCCAAGAAGAGCCAAGATTTCCTCTGAACAGCCGCCTCCCTTGTTCTCCCGCCCACCCCCGTCCCCTTTTGCTTTTTTGTGGTTGTGGTGGTGGCGAGGGAAGTGGTGAACCAAAAACCTACGTGTTGGTTTTGTGTTTCCCTGAAAACCACAGGCGCACACAGAGCATGAGGTACCGCTCCTGCCCCTCTCCGCGCTTGCAGGAAACTGGGGGTTCGCTCTTTCTCTGCCTGTACTGCAGATATTTTCCCCTCCTCTCCTCCACACTCTTCTGTTTATTTGGCTGTAAGGCAGAGCTACTTTGTAAACATCTCACACAGAACCCCAGAGCCTTTCCAAATAGCTGATTGCAGCAAAATGCCTCCGAACAAATTACGGTGCAAGGGGGATATAGGGGACGAGACCGAAGCGGATAAAAAAGAAATAAAATTTGCATAAATATGCATATGTGACAACAAGATCGCGTATGATGGTGGAGATGGCAGAAAGAAAGTATCGCTTTATAACGATGGGAAAAGTAAAAGCACAGACGACTGCAGCAAACTGCTCGCCCTTTGCCAGAGTACCAACTGCAACACCTCTCCCTCTCTCCCCCACCCTCGCCGAAAAAAAAAGGGGGGGGGGGGAAGCAACAGAAAAAATGAAAACGAACAGTCAAACGGCAAATCTAGTACTCCTACCTTAACACCGGAATAGCTGCAGAAGCATAGGGGTCTTTTTTACACAGCCAGATTCTTTCAGGAAATCCTCTCGGGCTATCATGCAGCCGGGATTATTCACACACGGTTCCTCTCTCCTTTTTGGAATCCAACGCGATTTGCTTCTCCAAAGGAATGCAACGACCACGAAGCGGGGAGGGGAAAAAAAATTAAAAATAACGAGAAGAAAGACAACAACACTGAATTTGAAGGAAACTCGTGTTCTCGGCTGTAAGCGACCTACATTCGAGCAGAAAATTCATTGCAATCAGTGCGAGAGGGAAGAGTTGGGTCTGCGAGTAGGAGCTGTGGTTGCCTATTGCAGAGAGACCAAGCCGGGGAGAGACTGATCTGCAAGGCAAGGC